AAACGCGGCAATCGCTCGAAAGGCATTGCATGGTAATTTAAGATTCCCAACGTTGATGCGATTTACTACCCCAACTTATTGGCCGGTTATATGCAGAAACCCATTTTTTCAGGCTTAAGAACAGGCCTCGTCTTTTTCGACGGAAAATACGGTAATTAATATTAATGAAAAATTTATATTCTGGTAAGTAGTATAGGCCATTCAATCACGTTTATCATCTGAAAGACAATCATCTACTATACATTGGGTAACACTAACTTGATTTTAAGAGATCAAGCCATGCTCCAATTCAGTTCATGGAAAAATTGTTGGGACAGGCGGTAGAAACTCTTATGCTGCAAGCTACGGCATCTGCAACTTTCCACTGATTATAGTGTGGACTCGGAAATACCGGAATTGATGAAATTCATTGTCTGATTACATCTTGATCCAGAATACATTCAAGGATAAAAAAAAATGGCTCGTAAGTTGAATATTTTTATAGACTGATTACGGACACTTTACAGCGGTGGTTCCCAAACTTATTTTTCCGCGACCCCAATTTTTGTAAAATCACAGACTACAGATACTTGCTACAGATACAACGAGAAAACATTGAAAATCAATTTATTCTATTCTGAATATTCTATTTAATCATTCTGATGAAAATCGACTGTAAGTTTGCGGGACGTTGGTGTAACGTGGTTGTACTTAACTGTTTAGTTCAGTGGTTCCCAACAATCCCAACCTTTTTACCCCAGCGGGCAAGCAAAATTAATTTAAAAGAGTTCGCTGACCGGTAACACATGCCATCGTATGAAGACCACTCTTTAAAAATCTCTGAGATTCAGAATATTTGTTTAGTTTTAGTACAATGTTAAAATATTGCAGATTACTCCATAATTAATTCGAAAGCTTAACAGAACATGAAAGTAAAATTATAGGTGAAAATACCTTTGCTGGGTCTCATCTTATTGAGTGCCTTTTATTTTTTGTCGTTTTGTTTTTGACTGCACGAAGCGCTTCGAACGTATGTATGAAATACACTATGCCCCATATTTTTGCTTCGTGTTCAAGAAAGATTATTTAAATGTCTAAATACGATTCGATTGCAATATTAAAATTGTTCACTTTTATACGAATGCGATGTGGACAAAACACGTATGTGTATATTTTAGAGTAGATACTCGCGATAATTAACATAGAGCTTTTGCAACGGATGGAAACCTTTTCATTAAATGTATTCAGATAATTGTGCCTAATTGTGCCAAAACATTAATTAAGATTAAAGCGTAAAGAATATAAGGTTTTGCCAAAAAGATGCCTATTGTGTTCATGAATTAAATTAAGTTACACACACACAACAACAACAGAGATATAATAAAATAAAAACAGGCGAAAAAATTTAGATAACTTGGGTAGTAAACAAAATGTACTTGCCAGTTGCCACACCATTCATTTTTATCATTATGATTGTCAAATTGAATAATGATTTTGTAAACAACTGTGAACAGTGATGAAATTGAATGTAGATTTTGTATACAGCCAAGCTGATTATGGTTAGAGTCAAGTGCCAAATTGCCAATCCAATGTTGCCAGAGTTTGGTGCATAATGGCGAACAGTGGTTTTCGAACTTTCGAACCCCCCCCCCCCCCCCCCCCCAATAGCAAATGATGAAGTTACAAATAAATTTATTGTAAATCAATTAAACAAATAGACTAATCATGGTGCATGATGTTTCTAATAAGATAGATGAATTTCAACAAGGAATATTTGAAGACATTTTAGTCAGATAAAATCTCAAATCATCATTATTTCCTCCAACAAATATTCCCCTCAAAACATTGTCTACGCCCCCTTTGCGGAATCAAGAATTTCTGTATTTCTCAATTATTATTGTCTTGTCAATGTAAGCTTCACTCACACATTTGCGACTGCAGAAACTTGGCTTATAGCAGTTTAACACAGAATTTTTATATTTTTTAGCTCTGGATGATCTATCTGGCAACGAACTCCGATTAATTTTATTACATGTTTACATATTTGTAAATTAAAGACATTTTGTTATCTTTTGTTTTTTATTATATAAATAATGTCAGATTAGTGGGAAATTTCTATGTAGTATAGATCCATACCCTGTCTGTACAACACATCGCCTAACTTGGCCCGACCATATGCCACGATTGTATTACAACGTGTCGTCTACGTAGGCCCGGCCATATGTCACGATTGTGTTACAACGTATCGCCTACGTTGGCCCGACCGTTTGCCACGGTTGCATTACTGCGAAAGGACCGACGTTGGCCCAGCCGCCAAATCTTCGCTGGAACATGGTTGTTCGCCATTATTGGGCCGGTGGTTTGAACAACGTTCGGCCATGGTTGTTCCGACGTAGTTGTGCTATCTGGGCTATATGTTGTCAAATGATATTGCTCATTGCATTATTAAAAAAGCTGAAATTGTTGTAGAACTAGGAATTTCCTTCAGAAAGCAATGATTAGTAAGTTCTGACTCAAATAATTAAAGAAAATTGTTGCAAAAATATATGGCAAATGTAATCGAAAAAAATGAAAAATCAGGCACTTGCGAAATTTGACCCCTTGTCACCAGTCCCAATCGTTCCTGTTTTTTAACAAAAAAAAACGTCATTACAATCATACAAAAGAGTGTATATATATTAGTTTTCCGCTTCAAAGTAAGTAAAAACATCGGAAATAGGTATTTACAAAGTGCCTGGTTTTAGTATTTTGTGCTTGGTGTTGCCAGATTTTATCATCCATATTCAATTTCAAATAAATCCAAAAAGTACGATGGTTGACCATATGTTGTCGAATGGTATTGCTCATTGCATTATTGAAAACGCTCAAATGGTTGTGGAACAATAAATGGGCGTTAGAAAGCAAAGAATAGTAAGTTCTGACGCAAATAATTTAAGAAATTATTGCGAAAAAATATGGCAACTGCCATCGAGAAAAATCAGGCACTTGCGAAATATGACTCGTCTCCATCAGTCACAAACGGTATTGTATTTTACCAAAACGTTGTAGATTCAATCATACAAAGTGTGTATATTTAATGTTTTGCTTTAAAGTAATCAGATACATTGTAAAATAGGTTTTCACCAAGTCCCTGAAATGAAATTACCGTTACAAGGGATTTCTATATTTTGTCATCAATGTTGCCACATTTCACTATTGAAAAATTAACTATACCCTAATAAATTGAAAATAATATTGTTTTAATGCAATATATGGATGCGAAAATTTATTTAAAGTCTAATTATTTTGTCAAGTAAATTGAAAACCGCAATGACTTTAGGTAAAAATAAAAAATATCAAAGTCCCTGAAATAGTGCCTGAATTCGCAAGTGCCTGGTTTTAGGGAGACCCCATCGTAGTCAAGTCTGCAAGTGGTCCTCACCGTCCTTGTATGTATGTTTGTGCGGAAACCGGTACATATGCGAATAGTTTAGTCCTGTAGTCTGTACCGTAACAGTTGTTAATCGAGAACTGGTGTTTAGACTTCGCTCATTACGGTAACAAGGTACGGTACGCGGGTACGGTACCGGTACGGTGAGTTACTGCATTACAGCATTAGGCAGTTAGGTGAACTATTACAGTATTAGACTATCGGCATGCGGCATGATTTAATTTTCTTATTTTATTCATTTATTGGCCTATAAAAAAAACATACGGTAGTGTACTAATATACGGTACCCGTCTGCCGATACCAGAATACAGCACAGTATCGGTACCGGTACCCGTACGGTACCGGTACCTACCGTATTACAATGTTATTAAGATAGATTTTCAGCCAATATTCCTAAATGTATTAGTACCGATACCGTAACGTACAGTATCTGTACGCTGTACCGGTACTGAATTATTGTCAATTGCAACTGCTGAACTGGTCAGTCAGTCAGTGCAGCGAACAGGAAAACTTTTAGAATGATTTGAACGCTACCTACGGTATTTCTGCTGTTCTGCAGTATCTGTGTTTTTTAAACAGGTCTAAATCTGAATGAAACTGTTCTTAAATTGAGCAGAATCCAGGAATCAATAATTGCTCATATTGTGATGACGTCACAGATTGAGTAAACATGTAGAATAGAACTATCTAGAGTGGTTTACTGGTTTACTTCGATCACTGATGTTTTTGTAAATCAGCCACTATAAATGAAAGTGAGGAATTCAAAGTGTCTAGTACCGTAATGCTGTGATGCAGTAATGTTGATATGATGTCAAAGTTGTATTGGATCTAATTATAATACAGTAATATATTGAATCTGTAAATCGTCATTGATATTTTCCCATAATCTCCTCCTGCAGTCCTGTGTTCATCTGTTCATAATGTCATTACTTATCGATTTTAATCGGTAAGTATGTTGATAGGTATTTGTCTGTCTGTGTGTATGTCTGTTAGACGCTCGCGATATCTCACGAAGCGAGATTGAATCTGCTCCAGATTTTGCATGTGCATTCATTATATCTCGGACCAAAAGCCTATTGATTTTGGGCGAATTATGCCGTATAATTAGCAAGTTATCAATTAATTAGTGATGGGACACAAGCTGTCACTATGGAGTAAAAGCGCTGTTTTGGGGGATCCCCTAACTTTCGATCGATAAATCTTCGGTCTCTGACCGATACTCTCGTTTTGTAGTTTCGATGCATCAGATTGATTTTCGTAACCCTGAACGCTTGACTCCAAATCTGTTTTCAACTTTGTTGAATTGGGCGTATTGTTTTTATGCTTGAGTGTAGCCAATTTATTTTAAGTGTAATTTGTAGGAACAATTTAGGAAATTTAGAAAAAAAGACTATCCATTTGTCCATGTGTGAAATTTAGGAAGTTAGCATTTTAGGTCAAATTTTAGAGGTCAGAACGACATTGAACGATGGAAACAGGGTTAACCACATATTCCTGTATTCAGGTCATCATGAGTTATGTAGCCAGAAAACGCCATAAATGAGGCTTCCTATATATTCTTGACTTGAATTATCCTCTTTTCTATCTACAGGTTCTATGCATAGTGGATCTTTCTATTCCTAAATTATGAATATGCATGGGCCTTCAAATTTTCCTCCAAATATTAGAGGACCTGGTCCGGGCCAGTTCATGGGCCAACTTGGTCCAAATCAAGGGCCAGGGGCCCCAGGCTTACTTGGACCACCGCCAATGTTTCAAGGTCCGAGGGGACAATTTGGACCTTCATTTGGTCCACCTAACCAGTCTCATGGCCCACCTCCTCTTATGGGTCCTCCACCAAGGGATATGGGACCAATGGGTGGCATGGGGGGTCCACCAGGCTTCATGGGAAACTCTCCAAGAATGCCTGGTGATCTTCCTCCACGTTTGCCTGTTATTGATAGAAGCAAAGAGATATGGGTGGAAACTGGAACAGATCAGGGTAAAGTGTACTACTATCATGCAATAACTCGCAAATCCGTATGGAAGAAACCAACTGATGAGAATATTCAAATAATTACACAAATTGAAGCAAATGCACTGGCAGCTGCCACTGCTGCAGGTATTATCCCCCCTATAAATGTAGGCGGACCAACGGGAAAGACAAATATGGGACAAATGAAGGACGGAGATTCTGCTGCCTCTCTTGAGCAGGGCCAACAAAAATCAGAAAGCCAAGAAAATGATAAAGATAATCAGAATGATAATGATAAGCTTGATGACAATGATGGGGAGCCGATGGATCAGGAACCATTGATGCAAGAGCAGTCAAAACCTGATGTTTCAATGAATTACTTAGGTCCAAGTGGGCCCATGGGTCCCAGGATGGGCAGACCTGGTCCTGGTATAGGCGGTCCAGGGCCAATGCCCATGATGAGGCCTCCAGGGCCTGGTATGCCGAGACCGGGTTTTCCAGGTATGCCATTTGGTGGACCCTTTATGGGAAGACCACCAATGTTCATGCCTGGTGGAGGCACGGTATGGAGGGCCCATAAAGCTCCCGATGGCCGTACATATTATTATAACATTACTACAATGGAAACCCAGTGGAATAAACCTAAAGAATTAGAGCAATTTGAGGAGGCTACTAAAAATATGGCTGAAGAAGCAAATCAGAGGGAAAACGCTGATAAAGTAAATGCTTCTGAAAATGATAATGAAAACAATGAAGAAAAACAACACACAAATTCATCTGACCGATCCAATGATCAAGAGAAACCACAATCAATTATCAGTTCTAGTGGGTTATCAGAGGAGGAAAGAGCAAAACAAAAAGCAAGGCCAATTGCTACTGAACCCGTACCTGGTACACCTTGGTGCGTCGTCTGGACTGGAGACGACAAAGTTTTCTTTTACAACCCTACCACAAAGCTATCAATGTGGGACAGGCCCGATGAATTGCGTGGTCGTACTGATATCGGTAAAATTTTAAGCGATCCTCCCCATAAGCGAAAAAGAGGTGCAGAAGAATCAGAACCTGCTAAACCTACAGAAGCAGTTTTAGCGGAGCAGATATCAAAAGAAGATGCTGGCATACCAGCTAAAAAGAAAAAGAAGAAAGCAGCAACAGAGGATGGGAGTCAACCTAATAAGCTTGCTATTCCTTATGTTCCCTTGGATGAAAGAATACAGCATTTTAAAGATATGTTGCACGAAAGAAAAGTTTCTGCATTTTCCACATGGGATAAAGAACTTCATAAAATTGTTTTCGATCCTCGTTACACAATGCTAAATACAAAAGAAAGGAGGCAAGTTTTTGATGATTATGTCAAAGTAAGAGCTGAAGAAGAAAGAAAGGAAAAGAAAGCTCATTTGTTGAAAGTTAAAGAAGAATTTAAAGAATTATTGGAAGAAGCCAAAGTTCACAACAGAATGTCATTCAGTGAATTCGCCGGGAAATACGGAAAGGAATTAAGATTTAAAGCCATTGAGAAAATGAAAGAAAGGGAGGCTTTATTTAATGAATTCCTACAAGAAGCAAGAAAGAAAAAATCAAACGAAGTGATCGAGAAAGCTGTAAAAGTTAAGGAAGACTTCATGGCTCTGCTCGAAGAACAGAAAACTGAGAAACACTCAAGGTGGAGTCGCGTTTATGATAAGATTCATTCAGATTCAAGATTCTCTGCTGTGGAATCGTCGACGCAACGCGAGGATATGTGGAAAGAATATTGCGAAATAAGTAAAAGCAAAAAGAATAGTCGAACGGATGATGACGATGAAGAAATAGAAAAGAAAAGAAGAACCGAGGAAAGTATGAAAGCGAGAGCTGAACAAGTGGAAAGAGAAAAGGCGGAGATGAGTCGAGAAATCAATACGGAAAGACAAAAACATAAATTAGATGAAGCAATTCAACATTTTAAAGCTTTGCTTTCAGACATGGTTAAAAATACAGATCAATCGTGGTCAGATATTAGAAGGCAGTTAAGAAAAGAAGTACGATGGGAAATGGCTTCATTGTTATCCAAAGAAGAAAAGGAAAAATATTTTGATGAGCACATCGAGAGCCTGAATAAACGAAAAAGATCGGCATTCAAGAAATTATTGGAAGAAACCAAGCAAATTGAACTTACGTCTACATGGAAAGAAGTTAAAAAATTGATTAAAGAAGACCCGAGATATTCCAAGTTTTCTTCAAGCGATCGGAAACGAGAACGAGAGTTTGAGGAAGTAATGAGAGATAAAAAATCTGCCGCTAAAGCTGAATTTAGAGAGTTATTAAAAGAAACAAAGGTGATCAATCATAAATCAAAAGAATTAACAAAAAATAATCCTCAACACATGAAAGAAATTATCGCAATTTTAGAAAATGACAAAAGATATCTGGTGATGGACTGTATGCCTCGTGAAAGAGATGACCTGCTATACTTTTATATGGACGATCTTTATCGCAAAGGTCCTCCCCCGCCCCCCACTGCAACAGAACCATCAAGAAGGGGAGCAAAAACGTGAACATCTATTGGGCTATGCCTAATATTGAAGCTCAAAAAGTTGGTGGTTTGCTTTGCTACCATTTTTTGAAAAAAGGGGAAGGATTGAATGTGGAAATTCAAATTTTTCTGGGTGATAACAGAATTAAAAAAACACTGGAGTTACAATTTTTTTTAATGTAGCTTTTATATTATAATTTAACGACACAGAACTCCTGGAATGATTAACGAACAGGTGTAGAACATTTGATAATGATGTTAAATGTGATCTGCTATGCTTAGTAATATGGATTATCATTTCAAGTTTATTGTCGGTAACGGCACCTTTTCAGATTCAGTAGTTTTCATTATTATCTGATATTATTTTAGGGTAGTTTTTTGACATGCTGGTTCGAGAAATTTTGATTCTCAATTCTGTTATTTCTTCGTGTTTTATTTTATAGTTGCTGCTCAAACTAAGTTGGGTAAAAATGATGATTTTAATTTAGTGTACAATACTGGCACATATCATATCACATTCTCTGACACGAGTGCTAGAAGTTCCCTCTCACTGCCTTGTGTTGTTTTTTGGATATTTTTAGTATGTTGTACATGCATTTAATCATTTTTATTGGTTATTGCTTTGATAAGCATAAGATCATAAATGTATGGTTGCAATATCAGTTCAATTGTATAATCATCAATATCATCCTTCATTTAAAGTTCACTCATGTGCTTATTTTTTTTCAGTGCAGTTGTGATTTTTTTGTCTACTCTAATTCTCTAAATTTGGCTTCCATATAGGGATTACAAGCAATAAGTGATCAAGAAAGAACCGAAATAAATTTTGTGTTATCCTATGCCATATTTGTTTAGTGAAAGTTTTATGATTGATCTTGATCATGATAATCTCTCGATCATTATGTTTTTCGTCTTGCTAAATATATTCAGTTGTGGATAATATTAAAAAACAAAGTGTGGGTCAATATCAGAGATGGTTATTTCTAGAGACAAATTTTTAAGTTTACACATGGCCAGGGATAACTGCATTGAGAAACAATATTAGTAATAAGCACAAAAATGCATCACTTTTTCTTGACAAATTATTTGCATCGTTTCAATATTTAATAATGTAGTAATGCATAACCACAGATTATCATATTGTGATAGTTTGAAATTATGGAAATTTCATATAAAACATGATTTTCTGCTCAACTAACTGGTACAACTGTAATTTTTTTCATCATTTTCTTGAAAATTTTAGAATGTCTTGGATTCAGAATTGTGTTTTTAATATAATTATTTAGACATTCCAATGCTCAATTGCTTTTGAATATGTCATTGGTGCCAGAAACAAGTTTTTATGGAATATTCTACTTCATTTGTGTGTATGAGATGCTTTTATAGAAGAAATGTTAATAATAATCATTTCTAATATTTGTAGGCGATCTCTCACCTTGTGTATTTCCTCATTTGATTTTGAATGTGTCTTAATTTTTTTTCAGGTTTTTAGTTATATTGAGTTTGTCATAGTTCAAAAATGTTTAAGCGATTTCGGAAAACCTTACAAGATGCAACAGCGAGTCCAACAAGTAATGCTCCGGCCCTACCTCAAGCTTCTGAAACACCAAAAAATGACGAAGCTTCTGGTTTTATATGCCCCATGTGCATGGCTGGATTCAATGCACCTGATCAACTTCAAATTCACTTTGACCATGCTCATAGTGAAGATCAAACTACAACACCACAAGAAACTACCATAAAGCAAGTGGAAGAAAATGGAAATTCTGATAACGCTACCAACGATGCGAATTCCATACAAAGTAAGTCTGATCATGTTGAACCATTGCATGCCGTTGCTGTAAAATCACAAAATGACAATACAAACAGATATCCATTTGCTTACACAGATGGTGACGGTTCGAATGATCAAAAACCTTCTGCTAACAAAGACGCAGTTGGCGAAAACGGAGAAGACTCCCTTCGACAAGAAATATCAGATTTAGAAGCATCATTAAAAGAAGAAAAATGGTATTCAAGTGAATTGAAAGCAGAATTAGAAAAGAAGGAAAATGAACAAAAGGAAGTAGAATTAATAAAACAACAGATGAGTATTTCAATAAAGACGAACGAAGATTTAGCGAGGGAGAAAGAAAATGTCACTCAAAAACTGGCTGAAAAATATCAAGAATGCGCGAAGCTCCAATCGCAGATTGATGAGCTCAAAAGTGAAAAATTACACCAAGTGGAAACGAACGAAAATCAGAGTGCAGAGTTGGAAAAAGCTGCTGCGTGGATACGGGACTTAGAATCACAGCTCATTGAAAGGCCAGGTGCCGATGACGTTTTGGTCTTGAAGAAAGAATTGGTTTCCGTGCAACAACTAATGGATACGCTCACTCTCGACAGTGAAAAAGAGAAAGCAGATGTGGAGGAACAGTGCAAAAAGCTTGAAGGAGAAAATTCACAGTTGAAGAAGACCATTGAAACCTTACAAGAAGGACATGAGCAAGCTTTACTTGACCAGCAGAGTTCCCAAACCCTGTTGTCCGAATCTTTGCAGCAAAAAGAATCTGAAACAAAAAAACTTGAACAGGTTAGGTTGGACGAAATTGAAAAATTAAAAGAGGAGTTGTCTAATCTTCAGAGTGCTTTGGAAAATGAACAACTGAATTCACGAAATCTTGAAGTGGAAAATAATGTTTCACAAGAAAAGTATTTAACAGAGAAACAGGATAAGGAGAAATTTGAAAGTGATTTGAGCAAAAACAAAGGAGAAATGGCCAAACTGGAAAAAAAGCTTGAAAATCTTAATGTTGAATTGTCAGATACCAAGTTGCAAAAAGAGAAAATACAGTCAAAACTTGATGAACAAATACAACAGTCTGAGAAATCGTCCACTGAAAAAGATGTTGATTTGAGAGAGAAGATCACTAAAATTGAATCGCTGACACATCAGTATGAAGATTCCGTAACAAGCCTGAATTCAGCTAAAAAAGAGATTGAGAATCTGTCTACTAGTAAAAGTGGGTTGCAGTCTGAATTGGAAAAGTTACGTGAGGCACATAACGAACTACAGTTGTCCAATACCTTAGCAGTGCAAAAGTATGAAAGCAATATTGAAGACCTTAGAATGAAGCTCAACCAGGCATCGTCAACAGATTCAGAATTACAAAAGCAAATCGAACAACTTGAATCTGACGCAAAAAAGAATTGGGAGGAAAACCAAGAAGAAAGAGGAAAGTCTAGAATTGCTTTGTTGGAATATGAGAATCAAGTTATGCAAATCAAAAGTGAACAAGAAAAATTGGAAAACGAACTGAAAGAAGTGAAAATACAATTAAAGGAAGAAGTGGATAAGAGCAATAATCTAAAGGAATCATCTGCGAATTTAACAGAACAGAATAGGTCTTTAGAAAGTGAAAAAAATGCATCTGTACTTCAGGTGCAAGCCTTGGAGAAAAACCTTGCCGATGTAAATCTGAAATTTGCTTCTATTTGTCAAGAAAAAGAAACTGTTCTAGCAGACGTTAAACGACTCCAAGATGAAAGAAACGAATTGATGGCTAAAATGGAAGTTGGTGAAGGACAGGCTGAATTGGTCGGACAATTGAAGGATGAAAATGATTCGCTGAGAAAACGTCTTGAAGAGGGTGATGCAAAGTTGAAAGAAATAGTTCAGCAGCATGAAGCAATAACTAAAGAATTCGAAGGTGTGATCGCAGAGAATAAAGCTAAATTAAAAGAACAACATGAAAAAATCGATACATCTCAATCTGCTGTAGTTAACTTAGAATCAGAGGTAAAGAACTTAAAAGACGATGGCGTTAGACACAAGAAAGATATGATCGAAAAGAACGACAATATTAAGAAGATGAATGAAGAAATCACAAACTTGAAACTGGAATCTGAAACAAAGGCATCACTATTCCAACGATCTGTTGATGAAAAATCTAGAGATATAGAAAAATTGACGACGACATTTGAAAATTTGAAGTCATCCTCTGAAAATGCTCAAATGAAGGCAGAAGAAACAAGAGTACGTTTACAAGAACGTTTAAATGAATTGCAACAGGAAAATACTGAGATAACCCTGAAATTAAAAGAAGAAGAAGGAAAAGTAAACTTGAAAGAATCTGAAATTACTGAACTTAAATTGAACATGGAAAATGTGAAAGAACAACATCAACAAGAAATTGATGTGATGAAAACAAGGCAGGGTGAGAAAAAGGCGGCATTGGAGTTGCAATTGAAGGCATTAGATGAACATCTTGCTACCACGAAAGCAGAGCTTGGTGCCACCAATGCAACTAAAGCTCAAGTTGAGTCAAGTTTAGCAGATGCTAACAAAAATTTAAAAAATGCTGAAAACACCATTGATAGTAAGGAGAAAAGTATATCAAGTTTGGAGTCCGATATTCAGTCTTTGAAAAATAAAATGAATGAAGGCGAAACCAAATTGCAGGTGTCTATTTTGGAGTTTGAGAAAAAGATTACCGGCTTAAACGAGCAACATTCAAATGATATAAAACAAAGGCAAACAGAAAATGAAGGCAATGTTAAAAAATTTCAAAGCGATATTGACACATTGAAGAATGAGCACAGTGCAGCTATTGCACAGTTAAAAGTATTGATTGATGAAAAGGATGCTCTCGTGAATGAGAAAAATCTGGAAGTTTTAAAACTCGAGGGTGAGATAAAAGTAAGAGACGGTGAAATCGAAAATGTCAAGTCTAATTTTGCATCAGAAGCTGGTGATTTGACAGGAAAATTGACAGCATCCAATGCTAAGATAACTGAACTTGAAAAGGCTGTCGAAAATTTGAAAGCCGATAAAGCGAGCCTTGATAATCAACTTTCTGCAAAGATTGAAGAATTTTCTACATTGCAAACAAAATTATCTAAATTGGAGAACGACTATAGCGTCCAAACTGAAAAATTGAATTCTACCAGTGCTGAGTTGGAAGCAAACGTTGCAACTTTGGCGGAAGTGAATCAAAAATTGACAAAAAGTGATAGCGAACTAGTCACATCTCGTGGAACTTTGCATGAAACGTCCGTAAAGGTTTCAAGTCTGGAAGCAAATGTCAAAAATTTAGAAGAGTTGTTAAAATCTGGTGATAGTAGAGTGATTGAGACTGAAAAAAGTCTTGAAGAGGCAGAGAAAAAGCTGCTTGAAGCTGGTAGTTCAATTCAGAGCAAAGAAGAAGAAATTATTACGTTGAAAGAATACTTCAGCGCGAAAGAGAAAGAGTCGAATAAAAAATGTGAAGATTTTTCAATCGAAATAGAAAAACAGAAATCTGATATCAGTGAATTGGAATCTAAGTTGAAGGAACGAGTTAGCCTGCATGAAAAGGATGAAACAGCTTGGAAAGACGAGAAAATGTCACTGGAAAATGAAGCAAAAGAAAAGGAAACTCATTGGAAAGAAGAAAAAGAAGAATTATTGCAATCTCAAGATACATTAAAAGGTGCTCAACAAATTCTTATCAACGCAAAAATGGAGTTGCAAAAACAACTTGAACTTTCAACCAAGGATAAGGAGTCGCTGAAAAGTCAAATGGAAGAATTAAAAGTTTCTCATGGAGAACAACAAGCTGCAGTAGATGGCAAAATTACAAATTTATCAGCCGAGTTGGATGCCATTAAAGGATCGTTAAAAACGGAACAAGAAGAAAAACAAAAAATGGAAGCAAGGTTGCAGTTGGAAGCAAGTACGTTGAGGGATAACCTGGACAGTGTGAGAGCAGAATGGCAACAAGCTCTGCAACAGGTATGAGAAAATAAGAGGGTAAATTAGCTGGAATATTTTATTATGAGAAGAGTTAAGTTATTTCAATTGATTGTGTACTTTAGTGATATGATGTATATCAGGGGTGGACAATTTTTTGGCTCACAAGTTATCGGAGGTCCACACTTTTTGCGTTTTACAATCATGATAAAATTAAAATTTATCAATAAGTCAATGTAGTTTTTTTCAATCTAAAATGCAATGACACTTAATTTTTATGTTCTATTAACAAGAAAAATGCACCTATTACTTCTACAATTTTTAAAATTGGGGGTCATATTGCGTGTTGAATCCTCGTCAAAGCCCGCAAATTAACGCCTGGCAGGGAGCATTTATATTTATTCTTTCGATTTAATAGAAAACCACTGTTAGTTAGTCATTGTAGTTTGGGGACATGAATATAACTTAACAGAAGTGTAATTATTTGTGTTTCATCAAATTTTATTTGTTTTTTGGGTTGGAATTATTGGATTGAGGCTTTCGTGGACCGCATAAAAATACTCTATGGGCCACAGTTTGCACACTTTGGTCTATATTGATAGAGAGAGATGACTTTTTTACTACTTTATCTTTCCCCTATTCATAATTGAAATTTATCACTTGTATATGTTGTATTTATAGGATACCTCATTTCAACTAATACTCGTTCTTGCTGAATTTTGTCCTTGTTTTGACTGTATTATGTCCAGGTTGAAGAGAAGAATGTAGAGTCTGATGATCTACGAGGCCAAGTAGTTGTTCTACAAGCCACTGTACAAAACAATGCAGATGAACGTCGTGCTTTGCTTGAAAGATGCATTATTGCCGAACAAGGAGTCGAACAACTCAAATCTAATGAAGTGCAATTGAAAAAGAGACTTGATGATGCACAAGCTGCTATGCATGAGTTAGGAAGAGAAAATCAGGCTATGCAGGTACTTTGCTTATTAAATTTATCGATTCAATAAATGCTTAATTACCCTTGCTTTTTATCCCTCTTTTATCTACGACACCATAGTATACTTTTTGCTCTGAGGCTATATGGAGTACCAAAAAGTGTATTTTATTAGTGGTTAACTAGTCTTACATCTCTCACTAACAAATTGCCTTGTGTAACATTTCGTCTCACCAAGAAAAGTTTTTCTCAGTCAAGCAGCTATGAATGATCTTGGTTGTTTGAATTATTGGTGACCAACTATTGCTTCTTTTCCTTCCTTTGTGTTAGCTTCAGGGATGTGAAGAGAAAATTGAAAAAAAATTCTAGCGCCAGACTCTGATAAATTTGATAACAAAAACTTTGAGCTTTTTCAATAGGTTTCTAAGATCTCTTAGACCTTAGTAAACCTGATGCTTTTTGAGTTTCTGTGGATAATTTTGACCTCTATCACTATTAAAAAGATGAAATTCTGAGCAATTCAAATATTCAACCTTTACCCGTAAATTGGAGAATAGAACACCCACTTCCACAACTCTGGACAGCACATGCTACTTCATCAACCATATATTTTATTGTTTAATTTTTTTTTTACCATTCATTGTTTTACAATAGTTTGTTAAAATCACTATCTTATTAATCCAGGTGAAGCATACAACGGTTTTGTCTCGACAATGGGCAGATGACAGGGAGGCGATTGAATGCATGGGATGTAGAAAGCAATTCTCTCTCACCATCAGAAGACATCATTGTCGACATTGTGGAAAGATATTCTGTGCGGAATGCTCTTCCAAAACAATGACTGTGGCAGCATCGAAAAAGCCTGTCAGGGTTTGCGAGAAGTGCTTTGATGATTTGCTAACTGTGCAATAATTTGTTTGCCTTGATTTTTATTACATATCCAAACATCTATAGAGCAACATGACATGTGATTGTGAATGCTCGATTGTTCATAATTTCTTTCTGGTGAGAAAAATTACAAAATTCATATTATTCTTTCATAATCTCACGAATCAATGTTTATTCTATTTAGTTCACGAAAAATAAATTTTAAGATTGGTAATTCTAGATTCTGTGTTTCATCAAATCATCTATCTTCACCATCATAACTAGATTCGTAAGTCACTTTTTGAGAAATTCAGGTTATATTTATATATATATATTACTCTGAACATGGTTGAAATGATCTAATGCATTTTTGGTATTTGAGCAATGGAATACTGGTATGCTAAAGTTGTATGAGGGTTTGCTATATATAGGTTTGAATCACAATCATAATCTCCTTGGCCTAGCATTCATTTCTTGCCCTAAATTATTGAAATCTCGGTTTTACATTATATAACACCAGGGTTTATAAAATTCGATCTTGGATATGATTTCACGAAGATATCATACCTCTATTAAAGCATGATACAATTAACATACCGTAAATAATTTGCATTTCCTGAGATTATACTTTATTATCCATATTTTGGAGTTGGCTTGTTCGCTGTTAAACTTTACTGTGTAGTGAAATCGATATTTTCAATTTTATTATTTATGCTATTATTGTTCTTGCAGTATTTTTGTCAATATGCATTTTCAACAACATTTGTCATGTTGAGTTTCACATATTTTTATTGTTTATTCTGGGCCATTCTTTGCCTGAATTGAAAAATTAAAATTGATTTAAAATCTCACCTTATATAAAGCATATTGTCACATTGATCAAATATATAAATTACGCCTACATCAATATCATTACTATTGTAAAATTATCCATTCAAGTTATTTTATTCTGCTAGCAGAATCATTTTGCATACATATTTTTTGAATTCAGCTAGGTGCATTTCAGCGTTATTCTTGTCATGCCATTTTGTTTTACCTACCATTATTTTTCACCAGTCACAAATCGGCTGAACAAGAACGAATATGATATTACAAATTGATAACACCCAGCTATATCAGCTTCTATTTGTCAAATTCATCCATCCATCCTTCTCATCTTGTTATGGCTCATTTATTTGTCCCACCCACCGGTAAATTGTATATTTTTATCATTTTCTGCTTCTGTGTATGTCCTGCTATGTTGAATGTTCCTCAGTTATGAACAGTAATTCTGCTTCTTCTTGGATGACATTCGCTGGTGCTGCGTCCTTGTTCCATTAAGACACTTTCCAATTTACGGTAGCAATTCTGGAGTTAAGCCAAATTGACAATTGGCTCAAGAGTTACAAATTGCAAGATAAAAAGAACTACTTCTATCCGAATCATAATAAGTCTTTGTCTATAGAAGATTGTTCAAATTTGATTTGTGAACGAATCACATTCATGAATTTATATTATTACAGTATTAAGGTAATTTTATATAATAAATTTATTCATCTGCGATTTGTGTACTAAAACAGAGCACTTAATAATGAAAAGGGGCAATTCTAATGGTTCTAAGTTTCCGATGTTTTAAGCAACATAAGCCGTTATCTCGAAAGCTGAAACACAAGTGAAGTTAGTGTAAAATACGAATGAAGTCAACATGTGGTTGTAGTAATATGTGGAGATGGGTTTCAAGCGTTTTTGCAATAGTCTGTCCAAGTTGTGGGTAGTGATTGTTGTCGAAATGAGTACCTGTACATGATATTATTCTTTCGAGAACAGCTTCTCGATATATTAATGAAAAAGATTTCCAAAGATAAGACACCAAGCACCATCAAGTGTCTGTTTTCCGTCGCCATGAGAACAGTCGGCTTAATAGACTCTCGACTGCGCAAGGTAATGGGGATCAAATCGGTAAGAGCTGAATACGGTATGGAGAGTGCTTTTAGATGATTACTACTGTAATTGTATGTTGTTGCATTGTGAGAGATTTATTAGTTTAATACAGTCAGCAATACAATAAAAATGTAACAGAAATAAAATTGTTTTGGTACCGTTTGGACAGGAGAGAGCGGTACGATCATCAAGGTCGACTCCTACCATATTTGCTGCTGTGATTAAGATTCACATCAAAGTTCACTAATGAAATAATATCTTCTGTCTGAGCAAATATTTCAATTGAAATGCGGTTTTTGTTCTATGCAATCACAGAACCAAAATCCATTTTTAACTTACCTATTGAATGAATACAGGAATAATAAAAATTGTGTGCTATTAATGTATGGAAATAAGGTTTTATTCAATTCTTTATTTATCGTATTATACAAACCTACAATACATTCTATGGTGGAAACTGCACACTTGATTTTCATCACTGACTGGTGCTGTGCAATTTAAAATTTTTCGGCATTAAAAATGCGACTACCTTGGACCAAAATTTTTAGGCCTGACCGAATGGTGAGAAGTTTAACCTTGATAAGCACTCTGTTCCAGATTTTCACTTCAGACTCAGAAGTTTGAAAAAACATCTCCACATGCTTTTAATTTGAATCCAGTGTTTCTTATAAAAATTTTCGAATGTAATTCGATATCTGGATCACCACATTAAAGCGGCCAAACATTCCTCATCATATCTACAAGGATTCACAATTATTTTCATCATGATAGCATTCGTTTATAAATGCAGCATGTGACAATAATAACTAAAAGTATGTAAATAATGCATCAAAATGTTCTTTCTTCACTCTGAACAAAGCTCAACACAAGTACCGGTATGTGTTTTTTAGTGAAGGATGTTCAGATATTGTTATTGGTTGTTTTACTTTTGTTACAAACAAGGCTCTATACCAGGATTGTTTAACATTTTTTGTCAGCGGGTCATATAACCAAATATCTAACATCTCTTCTATTTAGCTCTATAGTAAAAAGCTGACTCCTTATAACCTGTTTTATTAAATGATCTCTCACTCCTGCTATTTTCCTTACAGATAATAAATATATTTTGACCTAAATAACACAAAACATGGCATCATCTGGTAAGGTCTATGGTGAAAAGAAACCAAAGACATTATGGGAGAAAATATGCGAAGATTTTGCAGCACAACGAGCAGAATTTGAAGATCAAGACTTTGATGACACAGCTTCATCTGCACCAACTGACATTACTCAATTTTCTGCCAGCCGTCACACACCAGTGGTGTATGGAAAAATGGTTCATGTCGCTCAAGTTGACAGCGATCTAACACAGGATTTTGATCCTGCCATGAGCCACCCAGCAGCAATTGGGCTGAGTTTACTCAGCAGGCCTAATAAAAAGCCTGCACCTCCATCTCCTGCTCCACCAGATCCAAAGTTATGTCCAGCAAGGGACTACCTAGAAGCATATGTTTTTCCAACTCTAATACCAGCAATGATAGCAATGCTTCGGCAAGCGAAAGCAGAAAGGTGCTTTGAAAGAAAAAGGACTAAGTTTAATGCGTGTGACTTTTTGACAGAGTATCTGTTTAAACAAAACCCAGAAAAGAAAATTGGACGTGAAAACATGAATTTGTTGGATATTTCATTTGTGAAAGAACATCTTGTTGATCATCCGAGACCTCCTCTCCCACTCTCTCTCCTTTGGTCAGAACCCGAAGCCGCTGTTAAGATCCAGTCTTTCTGGCGTGGTCATCTTGTAAGAATAAGGCCAGAAGTGCAAGAAATGCGACAATGGCAGAATGAATGGCGAAATGAAAATAAAGATGTGAGGCAGCAGGTCAATGAATTCTGGCACCAACAAGAAAATAAAGATATTCCGCCAAGTAGTCCGCAACAGATACCAAATGTCTCGAAATCACCAAGGACACCAGAAAGGAAATCACGAAAAAGTAGTGCATCATCAGGGCGTAGAAGCAAATCTAATTTAAATGTGTAGATTTCTTTTAGTATTTTTTAAATATATATATATTTTCTCAAAGTGCTCGTTTACATTTTCATCAGTACAAAAACAGTCATATTTTCCCAGTGACAGATATCATGTAGTTAATTAGAATTTTATGTAGCCATGAAATATTTCTAAATAAATTAAATTATTTGGCGCTTACGTAATATGTGTACCAGGTTAGGCCATGATTTTATTCCAATTTTGGGGCTCCCGAAGTATGCGAACCAAGATGGTCGGACGTCGGAACGTAACATGGGTAACCGGTTAGGGTTAGGAGATAATTTTTTTCCAATTTTCCTTATTTTAGTCCTATTATCAGTTCGAAGACTAGCCAAGAGCCTCCCGTAGTATTTATACCTAAAATTATGGACTACCCCTAACCTAGTACAGATATTACACTCCGATGTCCGCCATCTTGGTTCGCATACTTCGGGAGCCCCCCAATTTTAGTTCTATTAGGAGTTTGGGGACTAGCCAATTGACTCCCGTAGTATTTGTACCTGAAATTATGGCCAAACCCTAACCTGTTACACATACTATGTTCCGGTGTCTGCCATCTTGGTTCACATACTACGAGAGTACCAATTTTCGTAGTAGACTTGTACCTCAGATGCCAAAAGGGCCGCGAGACCTTTCACAGCAGTAGGCAACTCTTTTGTTGAGTCCATTTCATACAGTAGACCAAAAGTTTCTATATTAGAATATGTTGTGTAAAGAAGCCTCTATGCAAACTACCTTCCTTGTTGCACGAATATGTACAGCCTTTAATTTTAGTCACTGAAATATTTCTGACCACTCTCATTATGCAAGATACAAGCCTGCTTGCTATTGACCTGCCTACTGCCCCAGGTAGGTGTTGGAATCATAGAGCATCTGATGTTCCTAATATTAGGTTATGTGGATGCCCATGTATTTCATACAAAAACCAGATCAGCCATGATCATGACTTGACCCATCTTTCTGCTAACAATTTGCGCCAGATTCATAATGTGTTCACAGTAACGATTAGATTGAAAGAAGAGAACAAAAAAGGGGGAAGGGGGTGTGGTCATGAAAGATAATTTCTAAATTATCTATGGTTGAAAAAGAATTTAACTGTTAGAATATACGCGATTACTGAACTGGGTGGAAAACAGCCTGGACCTAAAGCAGGGGTGCACAACACGGGGCACGCATGTCAAATTTGGCACGCCATGCACTCGAACGGTTTTGTAAAAAAAAATTCGTTTATGATGTACATTAAAATATCACGTTCATATCAAAATCAGCAGTTTTTTCATTCAGGACATTAAATTGTTTACCTATGGTATGTATTATTATTGAAATTAGTTTTATGTGTGTTTTATGGGAGTTAATTTACAATTCTAACGATTGTACGTGGCACGCGACAAGATTTTGAAAAATTCGACACATGTCCTCATTTGAGTTGTGCACCCCTGACCTAAAGGATGGCTAGTGTGGAAGAGCTGGTTATGGATGTAAGTTTCAAAATTTCGAATCAGAGCAATTCAAATCGAAGCAATTTCAGACAACACAGTGTGATTCTATTTAAAAAAAATATTGATCAAGATAATATGAAACAATTGAATGACGCAGTGGCGTTGTTACAAAATGGATTAGGTCAGTTCAAGATCATCTTAGAGTTTAGCGACTTCCAATATCGTAACAAACCTAGTTTTATGAGCCACAGTTATGTAGGCACCTACAGTTTTGCTCAATTTTTTTACTACTCGAAATGTTTAGATTTTATAACCAACATGTTGCTATTATTTTGTGTAACAAATGATATCAATTTACATATTTTTTTCCACTTTCTGATCACATAAGACACTGTATAGTTCTTCCAGGCTTCAAAAAAATATTAAACAAAATTAGATTCGGAAATATTCGAAACTTGCGCAAGTTAATTTTAGCTACAGTGGTCAAATTCCCAAAGGTTTCCACCCTGTTCATTGCATCTCATTCAATACCTTACGTTGGATAATATTCACATTCAACTTTTTGGTTTTATGGCAACCAGATTTGGACAGATCGAGAAGCAGAACGCAACATTCTCGCACACTTATAGAGCAATGCAACCATATTTACCAGACTAATATTAAAAACATAGGAAGCAAGCTATTTAAATTTAGACCTTTGGATTTTGAAACAGGGGCATAGCCCCTTTTGAAATGTAAATAAAGACGCTCAAGACGCATGGAAACACACAATTCACAGCGTTCATCCGGCCCGCAAGCTGTTTCTATCTAACTTGGCAAATAGAAATTTCAATTCCTGGCTACGCCACTGCTTTGACGATAGGTGGATGGAAATTCCATAGTAAATTTTTTGTCAAGGATTCGAATACAATCGATGGAATCAAGTCGGGGATGCAAATATATTCGATCGAATCAAATCTATTTTTCCCATCTATGTAAAAAAATTTACTACAATTGTATATTCCATAACAATTCTTGTACAACTTGCATTGACCAAAAATTAGTAAAAAAACCTGGATTGCAAACAATTTTCTAGGTTGGGGATTGTTTCATGACTGTTCAATATAAATTCAGAAGTGATCTTGATTTTTTTAATATATTTCAGGATTTTGAATACTTTATGCCTGTATGTAGTAAAAATAACTGCAGGGACGAGTGTCTGATACAACTACATTATGTCTAGCTCAAGGTATATATATATACTGATATAAAAAGACTCAACCAAGAAGGAATTTGTTTATGAGAGGGAAGGAAATCAGAAACATTAATTGTATTCTGTATTATTTTAACACATACACAATGCTAGCGAAGAATCCTCTAAACATTGAACAAATAATGAAGTTTTTTTGCATTGTGAGAGGAATAAAGAGATCCAAAATGAGTGAAGATAGGAAAATATCGAAACAGGCCTCTGCTTAACGTTATCTAGTTCTGGATCAAGCTACTGAACTAGGCTATAACTTCTGATCTGACAGAACAATTAGGACATAAACGAACTACAAAAAGTATTTTTTTTTAGTTTTATTTTAGTATCGCACTGACCAGAACCAGGGAATCTTCACAGAGAAGATAAGAAGATTTAAATTAATCCTCATCCTCTTCTTCTTCACCTCCTCCAGAACCTTTCTTCATGTTTCGTCTCTTGACACGTCCTGGTCTTCCTCCACCGTATGGAGATCGCAGAGAGAAATCTATATGTTTCTGTGAATCCAATCGCACGATGAAAGAAGGAATATTAACGACCTGCTTTCGGACACGAATGTGACGTTGGCGGATTAAAACTCTTGCATGATGAATTGACTTTGCCAAACCCAGTTTGAAAACTTGTGTCTGAAGTCGTCTCTCCATAAAATCTTCAATCTTGAGACCAAGCACATAATCGAGTTTCATTTTCGTTTCATCCAATACCCCGACTCGTACAAGTCTACGCAGGAGAGCATTTCCTTCAAACAACCTTCTTTGGTCTTTTTCGTCCAGGGTAAGGAGTTCACGAGCTGCCTTCCTGATTTTGGCCAAAAGAAGCTTTACCCTCCATACTTCACGTTTATTTTTTAATCCATATTCACCAATAAGTTTTAACTCCTGGTCGAGCCGTGTTTTTTCGAACGGCCGCCTCGGTGTTACGTAGGTTTTACTACGAACTAAGCTCCTAGCGTGCGGCATGACAGCGCTCTGTTTCAGAAAAGGATTCGCTCGCCGTGTCTACTTGACAGTTGCCAGGTTTTACACTTGCTCTTTGCTGCCGCTTGTTTCAGCTATACCAACTATTTCAACTTGGAATATAGAAAAACATGCTTATTACGAGTGTTTTGCCACTTTTTCGGGTTATAAAAAATAAAATAGTGAAAAACAAAAAAATACGTGAAATCAGTACGATTAGGAATGGAATCACAAAAATAACACACGGTATGTTGAAACATTCCGCCACTAACGTGTTCCACCGAAAAAAAAACTGGGTCTTATTTCAATTTTTTTCCGAAAAATATCACTTGGGCTTATTTACAGGTGATATCATATATTTTCATTTATCAGAAACCAGATTACGAAGTAGAGAATTTTCAAGTTTTTCAAATACAGAAAATATAAAGACCGATATCTATTTACTTATAAATAGCATGTTTTTATTTGAAACAACTGCAAAACATAGATTATCAATCATTTAAAACGTGTTGGAGAGATTTCCTGCTATCGACTAGGTCAAAAAAATTTTTGCGTGATTGACTAGATTTTATTTTATTTTTTATTTAGACCTATTTCCAGGGTGGGTCCCATTTTCGGGGAAACACGGTAGCTAAATCGCAAGATCGCAAGATAAAACAATTGTTTGGTATGTTTATGTTTTGCGTTTTTTAAATTGCTATTCGCCTTCTAATTGATCAGTTATCAGTAGTTTATTTTTGCACATACCGAAAATACGAAAGTATACAAACAGTAAGGTAAAACATAAAATAATGTATTGCGGCGTGAAGGGAGACGCGATAAACCAGTCATGGTTATCGAGCAGCGTCACTTTTGAGTCTAACATAGAATCATAAAAAAAAAACAATATTTTGATTTTATTCTAATGCTGCATAACAACAAAACAAAAAGTATACCAATGAGTTCATGCTTTGTCAGATTATATTAATTACTTAAAAAGATGCGCCCAATCTGGAATGGATCTAGATGAAATAGCGTGAATCGTCATGTGATGGAACTTTTTTTAGTTTTCCTATTCCGAAATCTGCTTCAAGGTAAACGAAATTAAGTGAAAAAAGATTTGGTAAATTACATTGTAGGCAATCACATTCGATAATGTGATACTTATATTTTTATATAAAAGCAAAATATAATTACCAGTTAATTGGTTTAGAATAAATACCGACATGAGTAAATACATTTCTTAGAAACGTTGTTAAAAATTATACATAAGTGAGCGAAGAACGCTAGTCACGTGATTCAGACCGTTCCGAGACTTTTTTCTTGTATACGTGGGACACCTTCCGTTGTGTTGTCTACGAGTTTTGTCACTAGCTTTTATCCTGTATGATCAGGTTGCAAGATGTCTCACTCACAGCAGAGTAGAGGGCCGCCGAATATAGAGGGAATGTACTCATTGAAAGTGGACAATTTAACGTACAGGACGTCGCCAGAAACATTGAAAAGATCGTTTGAAAAGTACGGCAAAGTAGGAGATATTTATATCCCACGGGACAGGTTAGTTGCCTAATTTTTCATTTTATTTGAAAAAAATTATTCTGTGATATACACCACAAAGAAAATATTTGTTGGCGTCAAATTTATAATAGTGTAATCCTATGGCAATTTCGCAGAATGCTACATAACCAGTTAACAGAAAAATGCCAATCTAACCTAATTTCCAAAACTTTACTTATCGTTATCATTGTTATATCAAATTTGGGGAGGTTTAACATGCTAATTTTGAACAATATCTTTGACAGATTATGCCGTTCTTGTCTATTCAGCCATTTTTAATATCCATATTTAATATTCAAGGGCCACGAAGGAAAGCAGAGGATTTGCATTTGTTCGATTTTATGATAAACATGATGCTGAAGATGCAATGGATAGCATGGATGGAAAAACACTTGATGGTAGGGAGCTGAGAGTTCAGATGGCGAGGTGAGGCTAGGATCTGAGGATAGAAAACAAGTGTTCGATATACCTAATCAATGGGTCTTACTACTTAGCCTACTGAATACAGCGCGAAACATCGCAGAGAGCGTGAATGAGCGCATTACAGAGGGGAACAGCGCAAAACAGGAAACACAGTTATGACACTTCATGACGGCTCCTGCCACGAAAGAACCACGAAGCCTCTGGCAATGGTTTTATGGCGCTATTACCAGTATATTCACAAGGGTAATCAGAGATGCGGTGGCGAGCGGATTCTTAACGCTTAGCATGATGCGCCACACCGCCGATAAAGAATTATAAAAAAAAAAAATATATATATATTCACAAGGTTGTGTACTAGATTTTAGGTCATAATGCAAAATTTAAGCTCCTTTTTTTATCTAACCCTAAAGCTAAATCAATCAAAACTGTATCCATATGGAAAATGTTCCAAATTACAGAATTACGGTCACCAAATTGTGTCATCAGCAGGGGCAGACCTGCCATTACAGCCTTGGTTTGTGTTTTTAATTTTCTGCCGTGGTACCCCAACTCAAAAAAAAAGGTACGCCAACTCATTGCAGAATTTTTTCCTGCTTTGCTCTGTTTCCTCTGTTTTGCGCGCTGTATTCAGTAAGTAGTAAGACCGCCTAATCAATTCATTGAATTTTGTTATTTTAACAGAAACTTCGTGTCGAAGCAAGTATAAACTTTCAGATCAAATGCGGTTGGCTGGTGGGCGGCGGATGCTGTCAGCAAGTGTTGCAGTGGTGCAGCGATGCTGAGTTTAATTCATATGTTTAAAACAGTACCATAAAGCAAGCAAGCTGTAAACCATGCCACCGCTATTTATTTTTTATATTACAGTAATACACATTGCTAATTAGAGAAAAAACAACTCAAAATTATTGATATCAAAATTATTTCTTTTATCAAATTAAATCTATCAAAAATATACAGGGAAACGCCGCCCACCCCTGACTTCATTGCCGCATTTTACTGAAATGCATCTCAAAATAGATATTAGTAGACATGGCAACGTATATGGAAAAAATTGAAATATTCATTGGCCTTGTTTCGTTTAAATAGTTTCCATCAATTGTTATATAGCTAAACATCTGCATGCATGTGGGTTCATTTTAATATATTTTTGTTAAAGCTAATTTGAAGAGATTCAAAAACTATCAGCAGGAAGGCATACAAAGTGTCGTCTATAATTTTAAAGTAATCAATTTACATACATTGACTTGCAAAATGGGTAAAAAATGCTATTCCTAAATAAGTGCAAATTGGTTTTGATCAAGCAATGGTCAATGGTGCCTGGTTTCGGCTAACACTTTTTTCCACTTCGTGTTAAGCCAACAACCGTATATTATTAGATATGGACGACCACAAGAACAACATTACAACAATAGACGAGGACCACCTCAACGTTATGGAGGAGGGGGAGGATGGTATGGAGGTGGTGGTGGTGGCGGCGGCGGCGGTGGTTATGGAGGTGGTGGTGGATACAGAGGTGGAGGTGGACGGTATAGCAGAAGGTACCATCTTTTGATAGACATAAAACGTTTTGTTTCTTTCCAGTTGACTGATTGTTTGTTACTTGTAGCAGTGATGTGGAATGTAGTTGTGGTGTGTTTCTGTTAATGTCGAAGTCGTAATTCCAAACTTCCTGGAGTCGAAGTAAAAATTCCGAACCACTCTTAGCAGTCAATTAAAGAAAGCATATGTACTCTGTTTTCTCACAGTACCAGTTTGGAGTCGTCAAAATTTATCCTTGCAGTTTTTATCTACAATACTTGTTGTTTTTTCATGCTTAATGTTTTTATATTTAGATCCAGATCACCACGACGAAGATCATATTCCAGATCCAGGTCTCGATCACGTGACAGGGACCGAAGAAGGAGAAGTTACTCGAGAAGCAAAAGCCGAAGTCCTTCAAAAAGCAGATCCAGGTCTAGGAGTCCGGTTGAACAAGAGGAACGGAATGGAAGGTTTGTTTGAAATTCTAATTTCCCACAACGATACTCTATTCACATTGAGTTGTGATGCAACGGATTCAGACTCTGATTTGGTATCGCTTCCATGTCACTTTTACCAAGTCTATTTAATTCTGTTTTTCTTTCACTTCTATTCCCATGATTAATTTTATCTGTCTATATCCTCGTTGGGCCAAAAGATACCAGGTATCATTTAACATGCGTATGAGTTGCGTTGTTGAATTATATTAAAATTATTTTATTTTATATCTTACAGCAAATCGAGATCAAGATCACCTGAGCGAGAGCGAGATTGAGAAGTTCAGAACTTCATTGAAGAAAAAAATTGTCCCTATTACTGGATGAACTATCAGAAGCCAGCTGTCTGTTGCATAAGTTGATTTGTCAGCCAGAAGTGCAGCGCAGCTGGTAATTTTTATACATAATTTTCGTATGTGCTGTAAACTAAGATAAATTGAACAATAACTGTTCGTGCTAGATGTTTAAGGGTTTAGAACTTCGTAAATCTCCAGCCAACTTTGCTGCTATCTGAATTCTGAATATTGGTCTAGTATTTATTAAAGTATACTAGCGCCTCCATATGCCACCTAAGGAATATATCCCCTATTAATTTTTAATGACGAAATTTTCGTGCCAAATATCAACACTTTTTTGATAACAATATATCATGATCTTGCAAGAACATAGACCAGGTATATATGACTTTAAAGTAATGAAAATATGACAAACTTGTAGAGAAGTCCTTAGATTTTAAAATCAATTTGTAAAGGAAATTGCATTTATTTCTGCCAAATAAATTGGGATTCCTCACAAAGAGGGACATATTAAATGGATAGTTTTGTGATAGAAATCATAAGCTTGTTTGGAATATTTCCTCTGCAGTATGAAACTGATCAAGGCTTATCAACAAAAAATAATGAAACGATGTTTAGCAATTTGAAATTTTATTCATTTACATTGAAAATAGTTTGCCTTGGTGTTTGTATTATATGCTCCTGTATAAAATTGAACCATGTTTTATTTTGTTGTTGTTAACCTTTATTTTGCTTGCTTACATTGTTTTTTACTCCTTAAAACAGCGAATCGAGAGCGGTGATTAGCGGTCCTGTGAAATAGTGGCGAGTAGCAGTGTATTTGGCAAGAGTATGCTGTCCTGTGTAACCAGTTAAACAACTGTTTCGGTCATTGCCAGTTTTGCTTCGGTCCTCTTTTTTATGGATGGAGTCGGTGGGTCCAGTGTATTGCCGAGTTCCGGGGTCCTGTCGTCGGTGGGTCCAGTGTATTGCCGAGTTCCCGGGTCCTGTCATCGGTGGGTCCAGTGTATTGCGGAGTTCCCGGGTCCTGTCATCGGTGGGTCCAGTGTATTGCTGAGTTCCGGGGTCCTGTCCAGAGCCAGTTAATTAAAAGTTTGCGTATAGCGATTACCAGCATCTGCTTCTAGTTCCTAGTGCCTGTTTTGTCGAGTAAGTTGCAGGGATACCTTGTACTTTGTGAGTATGGAAGTTATCCTGTGGAAGGAATATTGGTGCAAGGGGAAACATGGTAATATCTTGTACTTTGTGAGTATGGAAATAATCCTACGGAAGAAGTCTTGCTACAAGGAGAAACATGGTAAATTCAGGGCTTTGACATCTTCATTAAACCTTTTTCCTAATAATTAATATTCGAGATTGCTAGCTAGCATTAACCTTTGGGGTAAAGTTTTTTATTTTTGTTCACTTGACTGTCTTTTCTCCCAATTAGCTCCTGTTTGATGGAAATTTATGAAGAAGCCAGGTAGGTGGTCTGGAGTGACTTCTGGAACTTGTAAATAAAAATTGACTAATTTTCATTAAATACCCCATGACACCTTTGCATTAACTTTTCTCAAATTATGAATGAAGCATTGGCAGGAATATCGATAGCTTCATTATTTGCCCCAAATTTAATGGACCAGTAATCTAAATAGGTCTGTTAAAAATACTACATCTGCTGGAGTTGTAATGCCTACAGCCACATGCCAGTTGTCCGGATCGACTGATAGTTTTGAGAAAACAACTTCGGGCTTCTTGCTGTCTTATTTCAGCTAGAGTTGTGAGAATTTGGGCGAAGCTTCCCCTGTGTGTGCCTGTTAAGGCAGTTGTGGGAGTGGGAACTTTTTCTAATTTCTTGTATGGACCTTGGAAGAGTTGTGAGGAAGGGGACAAAGCTACTTTAATGAAATCTTCACTAAGCGTCTTGGAATTCATTTTGCCTGTTCTCCATGCTTTGTGTATAAAATCCTGTAATGGGTTTGTATATAGGCTGATGAAATATACCATTGCACTAAAATTGCTTACCGAGTTTTTGAAAGTTTGGGGGCTTGGTCACTTATGCTCTACTAAAAAGAACCTACAATGTTTCACTGGTGTCCGAATGCCTTTCATTTGGATTTCCAAACTCACTCCCATTTGATTTTTGTGGAGTCTGCATAGAAAGTGATAGCATAACACACTGACTTTTAAGTCTACAAATCTAGTGGTTTTACAATTGGCTAACAGCACATAGATGTCCTTCATGAGAGCGTTGTTCACAACGCTCCACCTTTTAGCTATGGTTCTGTAACTGTGTATTTACCAATCAATAAAACACCCAAGCTTGAGAAACTGGACCGACCATTGCTGCCATTTATCCCAAAAATGTCTGTTTTCGGAGTCTAGTTTTCATCTGTGTTTTTTAACATGTCTAATATTTCTTACATGGTCGATAACTAAATTGCTGCTTTGTGTAATCCCAATACCGATACGTATAGTTGGGACACAGTTAGGGAGTCATTTCCTCGGCTCCTATTCTGGTTTAATTTGCTTCAAGCCTTTCATTAACAAAAATTCACACACTGGTTTCAATTGATCTTTATTCCCAGCCTTTTAAATTCTAGGGAATAAAATCTTCACATCTATCGTAACTACAATATTTTACACTTTATTCCCAAACACTCCAAAAATATTAAGTAACATCTCTGTGGCCACTTGTGCCGGCATCTCAACTAGTATTTTCAATGCTTCATCTTAAGGCAGATACATGCTTGTTGAGCTGTAATACAAATATCATGATAAGAAATGTCAAATGTTCTTCACTTGGGTCATTAAGCGTTTCATGTGAGACATATAGTTGTAGCTGGACATGCTTACCTTTTCAAAGTTGAGAATCTGCTCTATGAAATAGTCAGCATATCCTCGTTCAATTTTTGTATCTGCTATATGTATCATATCCTGCAAACAGAAAAATTTCTGTTATTGTCATTTGGGTTTTCCAAGTTGAATCTACATTACATATTTCACAGTCCTCACTATTTCCTTCATACATATTGCTAGGCCTCGACAACTTAATGGTAAAAGCTAGAAAAAGAATTAAGTGACTTCATCATTATGTATCCAACCTACCCCATCAATGTAGAAGTCAACTTCAAGTTGATTTTGTTCTTGTGATGTTTGAGTGTCAGACTGACTGTTCTTCATTTTGTGCTATATAATAAAATAAATACCGAATTATATGAGTTTACGGGCTTGACTTTGGAATAGCAAAAAATATGGTCAGGCAATATTAAACAAACATGATTAAAGTTGCATTGATAAAAATCACACGCTTGCAGAACTAACTCTAAACAGGCCATACTGATGTCAATGCATGATAAATCCTTTATTTGTGAAGTCGTTACATTCCAGTAGCGTTTTGTTCAGATAGAAATGCTATAAAAACGGACTCAATGGGACCCCGTATTTGAATCATTCCACTGTTGTTTATGGAATATCATGAAACTTTACAAAATTAGGTTTTTACAATATATCAATTCAAACCTTCAGACACATAAGCTCGGCTCTGAGGTCATGTGGTGGCATGTCCAGGAAATCCGCAAGTTTATCCACAGGCATTGTAGAATATAATTTCAAATAACTACGGATTGTTGGCAACAGTGCTTGCTGGTCAACTTCTTCAAGGAAAACCTATATTAAAATTTCAGTTTTGTTGTAGAGTATATACATCAACTACTGAACAGGCAAGGTGTCTAGGACATTGCATGTGAATTGGAAATAGTCTCTTCATGCTCAGTTCTGCCCACTTGAAAAAGACTATTAAAGCTACATATTTATAATAATGCTGCAATGAATGTAACATAGTATTGCATGTTCAAATTATGTTCCACCGTTTGGGTTTCTGTGGATCCAACGCAAGGGCACTGTAGCAAGAACGAAGATGCTCAAGAGTCTTTTTATCTTTACAGTATGTTAGACTGAAGTGATCTTACCGCGAGCTGATGGTTCATGGGTTCCTTGTGAAGGTTGACAGGACCAGCTCCATAATTTGGTGCCACAGGAGAAACAAACTTGGGACAAGCAAATGAAAATGCCTCTTCAAAAGCCCCTTTCTCCCTGTTAATTAAAAATACACAGGCATTCTATTTTGGATTAATGGAAAGCTAATGAGATTTGTAGAAATTATCCCTTTCAACAAAAATACATACCCCCTCTGCATTCTGGCTCTTTTTTCCTCGCCAGTTTTTTCTATCATTTGTCTCGAAAGAGATTCATCAATTCTAACTGGATAAAGAGTTACACATATTGCTAAGAGATTGTACATCTGATCGGTTTGTTTGGAAATCTGTTGAAGAAATAAAATCCATTTAATGAGAGCAATCGGAAATTATTGGCTGTTAGTTGTCAAGACTCGATACAAAATTGGAAAACAGCAAAGACATGTCCAAAAAAATAATTTAGTGCTCGCTGCTTTAAGTATACCTGGATAAATTATTAATTTGTGAGCCTTGCACTAAAACGCTCTTTCTTTTTTATTCAATATATTGAAACAAGTGATGCTTGCTGACAGCTTCCCTTAAAATTCCCTGCTTTCAAGTGAAAGTTATATATAGAATTGTCAATGATCAATTTGTATCCAATCCATTCGAAACCCATGGGGGATAATTATGTGTGAAAGGATAGCTGACTCCCCTCCGCTGTAGGGTAGTGGAGCGGTTACAGCTTGCTCCACCATCAAGTCCTTGCATCTGAAACAAATAACTAGTAACTGATCTCATCATACCACACATGAACTGGTAAACAGACAAGGCCGAGGTTGGCCATCCATGGAATAAATAGTATAATTTACCATATCAATCTTGAATTGACTGGAACGTTGTTGCAAAGAGTTTTTTGTCCTTTGTATGTGGGTTAATATGCTTGAGAAGGTGTTTATAGCATCTTGATACCTGTGAAAGCAAACAAAATTGAGTACAATAACTTGACCAAGTAATTCAAACAAATTTATTTGATCCATAGCATTTGTGAAGCTTTTAATTTTAACAATTTGAAAATTGATTATGTGATAAACACACTAATCCGTACATGCAACCATCTACATTTTCAGATAGTTTGTTGCAGGGCTGGGGAGCTGAAGTCAGTGTCTGGAGCCAGGACATTTTGATGGAGCTGGAGCTGTGCTTATTATAATAGCTGGAGATACGAGATTATTTAGTGGCTCCAGCTCCTAACCATCCGATTATTTTTTCACATTTATGATTTTGTAATACGCTATATAAATATTAAAATCTAACCTTTTCAGCCTATAATTTTTTTAATTCAATTTATAACATTAATTTAAAGGCTGGAGCCACAGGTTGAATATACTGTAGCTCTGAAGCCATTGTGATTTGCTATTGTAATTTGAAAACCCGATCCCCAGCCCTGGTTTGTTGTGAACCAGTGGCTTTTTATTACAAATAAATAATCGATGATGATAGAGATCTACTTCTAGACCGGGACTGACATTTTGTTAAGTTTTTTGTTTGTACTAGGTATTGGGATTCGGAAATAAATCTAGTCTAGTAATAAGGTAAAAACCTACCTTCTCATCATCAGATATGAGAATCCAATATAATAGTAAGTTGTGATCTGACATTCAGGTACTCTGGCCATGACTGAACTCTGGAAATGAAAAATAGTCAAAATCATTCAAGGAATAGATTTTATTACAGTACTTCTCAATGTAGGCTTTAAAATAAGAGGTAATAATACTTTCGGCTTTTGTGTGATTCACATATTTATCCTACTCCCAAATTCACCATAAAAAGTGTCACATTCACATTACCTTTTTAGAAATGTCAATGTTCGTCATGACAGAAAGGGCTTGGTGATAATCTCCAAGTAGACTATGTAGTCTCAACAAACCGATAATGCTGAAATATCCCAGCATCTTGTACATTGGCGATGCACCAAACTCTCCTGAAAAGAAGTGTAAATGGCATTTTCATTTATTTATACATATATATAAAACTAGCTCACACAGGACCTATAATAATCAAAGCGAAGAATTACAAATGCATCTACTAACCTCCAATTTTCAAAACTGTCTCTTGATCTGCGCCATTATTGTACGCTGCCAACTGTTCATTGATTCTTGACTTGTCGACAAGAGAATGCAAAACATTCAGAACACTATGAACGTTCCATATCTGTAAATCATTCATATTGCAAAGCTCAAACTACCGTATTTTATGGACCATAACAAGCACCGGGGTATAAGAGACACCGTCAATGAAGTACTTAAATTGGGGTTTTGTCCATACATAAGGCGCACTGGGCTATAAGACGCAACTGGTACTGGTAGTTATCCATACATTAGGCGTGCGCCAGCTTATAAGGCGCGTGATCGATTTTTGAGACAACAAATGTCTCAATTTAAAGTAAGCCTCACGGTCCGTAGAATCCGATAAAAAATAAGGTTTAAAATCTTCATACTGCCAAATAAATTTTTTTGACGTGTTTTTAGACAAAAAGAGCATCTTGTACAAATTAGTATTTTGAAACAAGAACGAAGATCACTAATGCCAAATAATTGTGATAATTCCCAAAAAGATTGCAAAATATCTCTTGAATTTATATAAGCTAACCTCCTTTGTATATATAATGACTAGTTGGGAAAAGTGGGTGTGTAGTAGTCCCAATCATTTCAATAGTCTTTTTCACATTGTGTATCATGCGAAAATATCATACCTTTGGACTACTCTTTAAAATCTCAATGTCCTCTTCTGTCTTCTTACTCATTTTGCTTCTGTATTGACTGAATGTTTGGTACTAGGTACAAAAATACATATTATTAGTGTTGAAACTAATAAATATATATCAAAACAAGTTACGAATAGATATTTGACTTTGTCATCAATTTATTTGAGTACCGCTAGGATAGGATTTGCATATTTATCCCAGGGGAGAGGAGAAATGATAGGGCCGGCTCAATCATATGAGGACCACGGCTTCTTGTCCGGTTACCATGTTGGATACGTAATTAGTAAACCAGTTATTTGTTTTAGATGCATTGACTTATGCCGTAACTCACCATCGGTCACGTGAACCACCCTACGAACCCACGCAGGGTAATAAGAGGTGCGATAGTGAGTGCATTCCTAATGCTTAGCACGATGTGCCACACCGCCAAGCCCGAACACGGTCAAATAATTAACCTTGTTACTACTTGATACCAACTATTTATGTGAGATTTACAACAAAGTAAGTATTATGGAAGCAAAATACCCACTAAACCTACCTGATAAATAAATTCATCAATGATATCCCACAACCATTGGTTTGGAAGCTGCAGTGGAACAGGTGAATCAGCATCTGAACACAAGCAAAAGTAGATTTAAACCAATCTCGATCACTGTTTATTGATTTACTTCTTCTACTTACTCAGTATATAGTTGAATAGATCACAATAATTGTAGTAAGATTTGAATCTCTGATCCTGATCCGGACCTTGAGAAACTCTCGCGTAAATGTGTCGATAATATAACTCCTTGTATAGAATCAGAAACAAGGAATCTGGAAGGAAAAAATTCCATTGAAAAAAATTGTGATGCTTATAATACTTAGAGTCAAATTGTGTTTACAATTAAAATTATGTGTATTTACCACTTTATTCTCAATAACTTTTTGCGTGATACTGTTATTTTTACCAACTGAAAAAAAAATAAACTCGATAATGACCATTACAAATCTTATCATTTACCAAATACAATAACCAGAGTTAGTTTCTTTTTTACACATCATTTTTACATGCTATTCCCTTTGAACAAGGCTTTGTACAAGCAGATATAAAAGACTTCTACCCAATATATTATAGCCTGAATTAGCTGGTGGACATCAGATTCAATAGCGGATATTTTTAACATGTAGTGCCAACATAATAAGCCGTAGTGCCCAAGCATAATTCCAAATGTCCAGTAAAATTTTGGCATTGTATTACATAGTATGGGAAAATATCACAACAATCTTTTCAAGATCTCCAAAATATTACCGTGATTGACAATTTTCTCAATCAATTCCGCTTCTGGCCAAGGATCTGTTCTATACATTCTCTCAGTCAAACGATTCCAACTAAAGAAATAGATACAATGTTATTTCAAGAGTTTATCACACACAAAAACAGAGTAAAAAAACTTCTACTGTTTCAGCTCTAATCTTATCCAATAATGAACCAATAATTAATCGTGACGTGTGTCGGCCGTCTTTCGACCAAATTCACGTTTTTTTAAATAAAAACTCTTGAATGCTACAATAAAATTTTTTGATCTTCCGTGAATCGGATTGTGTTTCATTTTAGTTTATTGCGCAGTGCTGGTTTGTCGATTTCTGGTGATATGAAGGAGAAGTTTGCAATCACTGTGATAATTGATGTATTTTATTGTGGGGGCTAATATTGGATCAAAGAAATGTGCTGTACTGTTATTAGGGCGAAATCTAGGGCAAGTTCTATCAACCAAAGTGATCAGATTGTTTTAAGTTATGGTGTCTAACTAGCCAAACTGAAATTACCCATTCTCGTAATGATTTTCAATCTCAAATATATCTTGTTCATTTATAGCTTTTTGGAAAAATTGAAGAAAGCTTTGCACAGCTTCTGGTACGAGAGATGAATGTTGTCTCTGTTTCTCATATTCTAAATCTTGTTGTGGATCTCCAGTGTGCAGCCCATATGTATCATCGTACTAAACATAAGAATAATAGTTAAAAGCATGGTTTCGAGTAGCATCATATCGGTATTGCTGTATCAGTGTAGGGTGGCTTAGCCACCTTGCTGCCACGACCTATTTGCGGCCATCAACTTGTCGATTTAATTAATGCCGAAAAAATCAACAAACCGTGACGATATTTTTCAAGCGTTATCGTCCACTTATCCCTCGTAGCTCTGCAAAATTACAATAAAATGCGGCCACAAACAACGAAGGTATAATAAAACCCAACGCGACAATTTTTTTTTTTCATGTGGTCAACTTCCCCATTGTCCCTGTAGGAAAGCTTCATAGAAATATAACATCCATATCCATAGAAATGAAAGGTAAAAAAATGTAACTTGTCAGGTGGGTAGGGTTGTGTTTCTTTTAATAACAATCTTGAAAGTTTCGCGTTTCTACATTTAAAGTAGGGGGAATGAGGGGGGGTGCGCATTTCCAATAGGTCAATAATATCTTTGTCGACCAATTTGCGACCACCATGTTTTTATGTGTTTAATTGCTGCGATGCGGTGTTTTGTTTGTAATTTGACGAGTTGTGTTCGAAACAACCGTGTTCTTAAAATATATGATGGCCAGAAATGCAATTAAAAGCCCAATTTTTTCACTCATGGCTGCGTATGTTGTAGTCACGACGTAGCAGAAACGATGTTTAGGGCTCGAAATCCGTGGTCGCACACTGCAGCACTGGTCATTCAGTAGCAAATACGTCTTCTGAGTATCGTACTTTGGTGGTTTGTATAGCTTTAACACCTGGTCGTAGAAAGTTAATACGACTGTAGCGTGTCGAATAAATGCCAATGCACTTACGCTAAAAAAATTACCGGGTTAGAAATATTGAATTTTATAGCGGTTTGAATGAAATTGTCCGCAGACTGGCTGCACCACCCTATCTCCATATCCAGACAACGTACATAGCCCACAGGCATAGGCAGATAGGTAAAGTAGGAAGATCTACGGTATCATCAATCATTTTATGTCGGTTCTCCAGTTTCAGAGTTCTCTGACATAAACAACACAAAAAGTAAACAGACAAACAAAATGAAGGGTGGCGAGCATAACTTAAGTTAAAGTTAAAAATCGCACAAGTACCGTACGCGCCCATCCACACCAAAAATAGACAAGCACACAAGAGTGAACGGGTAATACCGGTACTTTTAACGCAATTTAAAATGAGAATATTTAAAACTATACCTCAAAAAAAGTTACAATTCACTCACCGGCACGTCTTCCTTAAAATGAACCTGATACATTATGAAAATTCACTATCCTGCTTTCAGAACGAAATAAGGATGAAAACCGCGATAGTAATCCCACCTTTCTGCCTTTGACAAAACGACAACAAGACAACGTGAACGATCAGCACCACCTATAGTCACTTTGCACCTGTTTAAATGTAATCTATTCCACGCGGAAAAATGCAAATACCGTTAGATGCAAATCAACGACTAACATACCGATGCAAATGCTGCAAACGAAGGAAAGAAAATTGTTTGCAACAACCTTCTAGTCTAAATCTAACAATGAGAACTAGCGAAGAACCAAATTTCACCATCTATAATAACTCAGCACCGTTGACTGAATAGCAATATGGACCCGACAACCCTCTCTTGTCTGCCTGAAGTTATGAAACAGTTTAGATATAGATTTGAAACAATATAGGTTGACATACAGTTATCAGTAGCCAAACAACTAAATCGGTTGCAGGTCGATTGATTACCAACTTTGGTTTGGATCGTTTGAGGAAATTACTGCAAACTTAAATCCAGGCGGACACGATTTTCACTGAATGTTTGTTATTAAATTAATTATAGTTGATTGCGTACAGTCGTCAATTATTGTGCGCGGGGATACCAGCGGAGTGTTTGTTATACGTCACTCGATCAGTTACAGGATTTCATAATAGCGTTGCTTTGTGCTTCGCTCGGTGGTGCCGTTATATTAGATACAGTATGCAGGTAAGCAAGAAGTAGGCCTACTTGATAACTAGAATCGTACCGCTGTTATTTTATTTTGTTGATTGTCAAGTGATCATCTATTTGGGAGCAACGCCAATAAGAGTTGTGTTTGATTACAAAGTGATAAGTTAGCAATAATTATAAGGCTGACTGCACAGCAGGGTCATATTTTATATAAAAAAAAAATCTATAAATTATTTGCGGCTTTGAAGCAACACTTTCAACAATTATTCAAATTTGTCTTTTTCTTATTCATTCAATGTAATACCCGCGTTGCAGTTGGATCAACATATTCACCTTTCTCTGAGCATATGCTCGTCTATGGAAACCGAACAGCCTTAAAACCTAACCTTGCTAAGAAATTATGTATTGTTTTTATATCGATATAATGATATCTTTTCACTGCCAGTTTTTCAGTTTCCCATTGTACGCAATATTTATATCAACTGATAAATATCATCATCTACTTTGTTTCATCCAACATCACTAGTTTATTTTGTCAAGCTTCGTATTTATTACGTTAATTCTTAAGTTGATCAAAATTCCTTGTTTTTGTCAGGGATTTTTTTTTATATAAAAGTCGGAGTTTATACGAAGATATAATTTAAGCCCGGTAATAATTCGTTTGATACAGCTTTTTGTCCTTAGTAACATCTATATTCTAATAGAGGTTAGGTTCAGTTCTACAGACAGAAAGTGACTTTGAGCTTGTAAAATGCTTTAAAAGCACAAATTATTCTTGTTAAAAAATAGGCTTGTGAACAAAATGTTGATAATAAATGAAGCACAACCGGTGTTTAGCAAAACGATGTAATTTGCCGACGTTTCGAATATATATATATACAGAAAAACTTCATCAGGGCATGATATGGAAAGGACACAAGTGGATATATATAGAGCAAGAAAAAGAAAAAAGGAAGATATGAAAAAATTATCATGGTGTCAACTCGAATCTAAAAGGATGATGATAAGATGATATACATAAATAAACAAATTAGCGCAAGTTCAAACAAAAGGGGGACTATTTAAACAATGATTTATACACAGGCGGAAAAAGTGTGGTTTCTTTGTCATTCATCGAATTCTTCTCTTTATTTATGTGATAAGATTCAAGAAATAGTCTTCTCCTGTATTGAGTTTCTTTTTCTAGTATCCTGCTGTTTTCCCAGTCGATGCTATGGTTATTAGAAAGGGCGTGTTTCGAAAGGGCCGACTTGTCAATTTTCTTTTGTTTAATGTCTCGTAGATGTTCCTTGCTGCGAGTTTCCAGGCTTCTTTTGGTTTTTCCAATGTAGACTGAAGAACAGTCGCTGCATGGGATTGCATATACAACTCCGTATTTTTGTTTAAAGGCATGGTCTTTGACGCTGAAGAGCAATTGGCCGATAGTGTTTTGGGGTTTAAAACTTACTCTGATTTTAACGTCTTCCAAAATTCTTCACTTAGTCCTTGGACATACGGAATGGTGGTAGATGCGATTGGTTTGGGTTTATCAGGCAGTTTTTGGAGATTTACATGATTTCTGAACATTTTCGTTGGATATCCATTTTATCGTAAAGTTTTCTTAATGAAATTTATTTCTTGTTTCTGCTTTGTTTCATCCGATGTAAGGGTTTTGGCACGATTCATAAGACTACTAACCACTGAACGTTTATGGTTACGCGGGTGACTGGAATTAAAATTAAGATAGCGATTAGTATGGGTCTTTTTCCTAAATATATCAGTCGTCAATTCTCCATTTCCTCCTCTCTGTATCTGTACATATAAGAAGGCTATTGTCCCATTGACTTCTTTTTCTATGGTAAATTTTATGCTTGGTTCGATCGTGTTGATGTGGTCGTGGAACGCGTCACAAAATTCTTCTTTCGTTCAACATAATCAAACATGAGTTTACCTGGTGGCAATCATGCACTATTTCGAACAAAATCTCTGGAAATTGAGACTTATCGGGACTAATTTTAGAACATTCCTATTTAACTAAAGTTCTCCGCAAGATACAATGACAGTTAAATTACTTTATTTGCAACTAATTTTTAGAAACATAGGTGAAAACTGAGAAATACCACGCAAAACCGCGATAAAGACGTCTTGTTATAACCGTGCCTGAAAATCTGTCCGAACGAACGAAGTGTCTTAGCGGCCGCTAAAATTTCAATTGTTACGTCATCGTGGCCTTTTCGCCGATCGGTCATTGCTACGGTAATAACAAAGAGCGCGGTGCTCGGGAAAGCATCCATAGAGTAATAAGTTAGATAGATAGCCGCTGTACATTACATTGCTGTACATTGAATGACTTTGGTGAGATGAAAAAGACTGGAGAAAATTCAAAAGATTAAGAACGGGTTCTCTTTTGTGTCGAAATCCCTTAAACAGGTTCCCTCTTTAGAAAATATATGTATGGCATACACATAGCTAGTTCTATTATGAGAACTAGCCAAGTAACTCCCGTAGTATTTGTAACTGAAATTATGGCCGCCTAACCTGGTACACATACAACGTTCCGATGTCCGCCATCTTGGTTCACATACTACGTGAGTACAGTGAATTTTATCTACTCCATATTTCTGGTATTTGAAATCAGCAACTGTTTAGTATTTAGCGTCACTCAATTTTTCCTAATATATATACCTTGAAAGCTTAGCATCAACTTTTCTGCGTTTGTTGCCATTTGTCTAATTATCATTAAACGATAGATTGTGAATTATATATTTGTTAGGTTATAATATAATTTAGTATACAAGTGTATCACAATAAATTATGTTACATAAAGAATATAATAGTAAAGACAGCTGTTTTGTTACTATAATTCAGTGAAGTGTCGCGGACCGGAGTATATTACTCCGCGGGCCGTAGGTTGCAGAAGAAGGGCTCGCGCGTACTCCCGGAGTCCCAACTTTGGTTAGACTTAGAGGGTTGGAGTGCTCGTGATGTTGGATTTAAATAAGGACGTCTAGCGGACTAGCTATTGTGGTGCGTTTGCAGATAGGGATGGCGGAATCGACTCCGGATTCGATTCCAGAATCGATTCTTCGTAGAATCGATTTTGGTGCATTGGAGTCGATTTTTAGGGTTAAAACTTGTATTGCAAACAAGGTATTATGTTCTGTGACAAATTGTTCATATATTTGTATCAACTGATATGTGGAGTTGCTACAACGCCGCAAATTTTACTATATTTCTATAATGTCCTTCTAGCTCGTTTGCGCGGGTTGAGGGCACATTCCACATTTGGACCATTTCTGAATATTTTATCTTATTCATTGCGTTCATTACTCCTATTTACTTGAAGCAACTGGCATCAAGAAAAATAAAAAAAACTTGTTGCAGTTTGAAGTAGACAATTTTACACCTAAGAGATAGAACAGTCTGCAGTCCAACAGACAGGAATAGCAAAAGAACTCTTCCATAGAAATGATGAAGCATGTATTAAAAACTGATCAGTGATGGTATGGGTAGCTCTGAAGTGACTGTGGATGACATTGATGAACTGACCAGTGAGGTGGCGGCTTCAGCCGAGATATTAAAAGATTTGAATGACAAAACTCTTGTCATATATGCGACCCGCGAAGAAATGTTGCAATGTTGGCGACAAAACAAAACACGTATCCAAACATTGCCTCTGTGTCCCAGCAACATCAGCTGCATCAGATAGAGCATTTAGCTCAGAGGAGCTTTCCGTATCCAAATTTCGATCGAGCTTACAGGACTACATGTGAACGAATTGAACTTTTTTACTATGATAGAAATTTATTGACACAAAGTGGACATTCAAATCGTTTTGTTATTATATTTTTGTTCGAATTCATGTTCTTGTTATGAAATATCTTTTATCATTACCTACTGAACCAATTGCTAGGAGGAAATTCCGTGGTTAAAAATTGTAATTTTCCGCTAGAAAGCTATTACATTTATTTATTTCAAGATTTTATGTGGGCTCTGAGGGATTCGTTTTTATTTGTTTGCAATTTTGTCAACTGTGACAGATTGAAAACCCATACCACTTAGTTTAGGCTTTCGTGTCTATATATTTGAACATTGCTCATTTGTTTGATTTGTTAGTATTGTTTGAGTTGGTATGTTTTCTCGGTAAGCTATGTCGAGGAATCGAGAATCGGAACCGAAAATTTAGGGAACCGAATAAGAATCAAATACTTGTAATTACTCATACTTCGCAACCTTATTCGCAGAGAAGTACAGCAGCCTTGTACAATGCGTCCATGCATTTCATACTAAAGGAGTCGCGTGTGAATTAAGTGTCATTTGTTCCTATAGTAGTGCGCTATGCTGAGTTTAACAGAAATATTAGGTTAGCGAATTAAGAAGGTTTATCCTATTCTCAAGTTTTAACTGAAATACTAGGAAATAAATTGTTGAGACGAGTCATTGCATGGATAATTATGAGTAACACTGACGCCAAAACATTAAATCAATAT